TTCCAACCCTTAATCTATGAATCTATGAATCTATGAAACCCCATTTCCAGAGTCAAGCCTTAGCTTGTACAGCTGAGAACTATCAGCACCACCACACCTAAAACTCCTTCGGACTCTGGCTCTCAGTCCACCAGATTCAGTTCCAGTACTTGCATGAGGGGCAGTCATTTCCATCTCCTGCCTCTGTATTTCTATTGACAGGGAGGACTCCTTGCTCCCTCTTCCTCTTCTCTGGCACCCATGCATGGACTGTCAGTATCTAGCTCAAATTCAGTAAGTCTGACCATTTAAATCAAGGGTGGCCAACCTTTGGCGCATGTGCCACAAGTGGCCAAGGCAGGCTTTGTATGGGGTACATGGCAGATCAGGAAGGAAGCAGGAAACACAGTGGCAGATAGGGCAGGAAGCAGAAAGCTGAACAGCAGATCAGACAGAAAGGGATCTGAGTGGCACATGGGGAGGGTGCAGAGCTTAATTTGTAGCACACCTGCAATGGCTGGCCCCTACTGACTTAAATCAATGTCCATGGAACCAGTCATACCTGCTCTGATCACTTTGGCTAAGTACAGGCAGTCAAAAAGCCAGAGGCTGAATTGATTCAGTCTTTGCAGTTTACTAGGCTGTGTAGATTGAACCAATAAGCAAGTGAACAGACATTCACTTTTGATTCCAGAAATGCAGCCACATGCCTGCACTGGCCCAGGCCAGAAGATGGGGGCGCACTAGAGCACACCTCCTTGCTTGGCTGGAGCAGACAGCTTAGGCCAAGTTAGCCTGCTGGGGGGGTGGCGTTGGCTGGGGAGGTGCAAGGCATCCTGGGATGTTTGGGGACTGTGAGTTAACTTGAATCTGGGAGGGATCTAAGACAAAAGTTCAATAAACCGATTTAATCTAAATCAGTGAAGTCTGATACTACGTTCATCCATATTTATCTTAAACCATTTTCAGCCATTTTGAAAGCGGTTTATGTGCACTGAACTTCTGTTGTGTTCCACATTTGAACCGGTTTCTGATTGCTCTTACTAGTTTGTGTGTAATTTCCAACCCTACCCCTTAGAACAACTGCCATTAACATTACTTACAGTGAACAGTATTTCACTTGAAATCAGAGCAACTATCTGAAGAATGAAATGCTAACCAACATGAGTAAAGATGTCAGGACCTCAAGCAACTGGTAACTTTGTACCACATATTTGTGTATTCCCGATATCTTGTTCTGTTGGGAAAGTTAGAGTTTCAGGCCATGACTCTGGGCCTGCTTCTGCCTCTCCCATTCCTGTTCTTCTATCACTGGGACTATTTGTGGAACAAGCTATTTCTCTACTTTATGGAGAGATCCAAAAATGTGTTGTTTTTATTTTCTGTGCAACTTGTCTGTCTACATAAGATAATGTGTATCTGTATTTATTTCTATGAACCCCGTGTTTAAAAGAAAAATGTAAACATTATTAAATTGAAGATGTTGGTCCTTCCAAACTTTGATACTCATATTGTTCAGTTTTATGAGGTTTCTCTCACTACCAGCACCTCCTTTTTATTAAAGGCTGCTTCATCACTTCAAACACATATGTTTAGTTGCCTCAAATGGTAAATTGCTTTGTACTGTCCTTGAAATGCACCGTATAAATATTGTATTTGATCTTTAGCTTACAGTTCATAAATAATTTATTTAAAAAAAATGCTCTTCAATGAGACCAGCAGCTGCTGAGGTGTTCAATTTTCTGAAAAAACATTTATTTATTGCATACATTCTTTTAGCTTGGTACAGATTTGCTAAATGCTGCATCTGGTAGGAATTATAGGAATAATATTCATGTTAAAAATCTCAAAATGCTAAATGCTCAAATCTGCTGAAACGGTTTGTAAAGCAGCATAACCATTTTGATAGGCAGTGGAGATGCTGAAAGCTATACAAACATGGCTTTCAAGTACAATTCACTTACACCTGACGATTATTTAAAGCATCTACTTATGACTCCTTGAAAGGTTTTTAGATTTCATTACCAATAACAAGTAATTCTTAAATTATTTACATTTCACATTACTGCATTGAAACTGTTGTAGAAACCTGCTCAATATGCCAAACATAAAAAAATAAAAAGAAATTTTAGATGATTATATTTGATGAACAGGCACATTTTAATTCATGTATGGTAATATTCTTGTTAATGACATGTCTGCTTAGGACATCCATTAAAAGTCCATTAACTTAGCAAGGAAAGTGTAATAAACTTACCCTGGGAATTTTCTGATAAATTAACATTATGGACTTCTAATGAATATCTGTTTTAGGAATTGTTATTAGCAAAGCTAAAATTTAATTAAATACAAGCCATACGTGAGTAAAAAGCACTAAGAAGACAGTAACAAGCAGGAAAATCCTGCCTCATTAAGCATGGTACAGGCCACAAAATATGCTAACAGTAGCAGCAAAAGCTACTATTGTTTCCTCCATCAGCATGCTGGTTGGTATGTTAGTATCAGAAGCTTACTGCATGAAATCTAGCTGAAGTTCCCATTTTCTTACAAATCCACGGGAGAAATTGCTTGATTTCCTGGCAATCCACTTAAAAACCACTAAGGCCTGAGTTTTAGAAGTGTAGCAAATCTACAATTCTACCTGAAGCGGACGGCAGCTGTACCCACCTTTGAAAAATCAAGCCCTACCAATATGTATCTCAAGGTCAGCATTAAAAAAAGTACTGCAGTACTGTAACAAGATAAAGTTAGTAGATCCATTTGAAAATGTTGATCTAAGTTAGCAGTTGGCAACATAAAGCCTGGGGGCTGGATCCAGCCAGCTGAGCCACTGGATCTAACCCGCAGACCTGGAAGGCTTTGCCTGCACTGATGCTGTTTCTCTCAGACCCCACCTTGCTCCATGGCCGCATGCGGGCTCGCTTCCAGCTGGAAGGGGCTGCACCAAGGCCAGGGAGCTGCAAACTAGGCCTGTGCGAAGTGGCAAGTATTTGCTTTGGATTCGGATTTGGCCGATTCGGAGGGACGGTGATTCGATTCGGAGATTTGAATCGCTATCCTGATTCGATTCAGCTGAATCAGATCCAAAGTTTCAGAGCTGCTTCGGAGATTTGGTCATAGATTAAACAGCCAGCGGTCCTCACCACGCTGGACACAGCTGCCTCCAACTGGCAAGTCTGTTGTGGTGGGCAGAGGAGGAAGGGAAGGGACGTGGGGGGCAGATCAACGCCCCACAGTGAGGGAGGGATTGGGGCTGGGACAAGCTGCCCAGCTGGGTGGGGGGGGAGGTGCAGCAGTGTTGGGAGCTATGCCCTGCTGCTTCTTGCCCAGCTGGGACAGGGGGTGGGGGGAGACATGGGATGCAGGCACGGCAGTGCTGGATGTAGGGGCTATGCCCTGCTGCCACTTACCCCCTTCCACCCAGAGTGTGCCACACCTGCATCACGTCCCATCCCCTCAGCCACCCCAGCTGGGCAAGCGGCAGCAGGGCATAGTCCCCGCTCGCAGCACTGCTGTGCCCGCATCCCCCGTCCTCCTTCCCCAAGTCCCGCACCCTCCTGCCCCATCTGGGTAGCTTGTCTCAGCTCCAATCCCTCCCTTGCTGTGGGAGCGTTGATCTGCCCCTTCCCTCCCTCCTCTGCCCACCACAACAGACTTACCAATTGTAGGTAGCTGTGTCCAGCGTGGTGAGGACTGCTGCCTGTTTAGTATATGGCCGAATCTCAGAAATGGCGCTGAATCTTTTCCAAATCGATTCAGAGGCTTCCGATACTATTTGGACCTTTTAATGGTCTCCCAATTTGATTCAGATTCGGAGATTTGGCCACCAAATCAGGCCGAATCTCCTCCAAATCAAATTGGCTACTGAAGCTTCACACAGCCCTACTGCGAACGCTACTGCTTCTCTCCGCTCCCAGGCCCCTGCCCTTTCCAGAACAGGCACAGCTGGAAGATGCACAGGCCTGACACAGAAACCTGTGGGCTGGATGCTGCACCCATGCTGCAGCCAGGGGAAGCGGAGAGGAAAAGCAGCAGTGACAGATGCAGCTGGAAGCTGCATGGCCCTGGTGCAGTTCTCCATTGGCTAGAAGTTGAACCAGCCTGCAGCCAGGAAACAGGAGGGTCTGGGGGTAGTGGATGTAGCTCCTAGCTGTGTGCCTTGGCGAGGGGGCAGGGAAAGCCCCTCTGTCTCTGAAGTTCTCCCAATGCCACCTGGTCCACGTTGGACCAGCACTGGGTTGTCCTGGCCTGCATCTTCTTAAAGGTTGCTGAGCACTGCTCTGAGTGATTTTGGTAAAGCTGTGGAGAGAGCTGATAACAGTGCTGAAGTTTTCAGATGCATGTAATTCCTGCACCTATGGTACTCTATATCCTATCATTTAAGAAAAGAGATGAAATCATTAAACATTGATATCATGTCACACCTTTATAAACAGCTTTCTGGAAGTAATTCTTCCAATGTTAACAGTTCAAAGGCATGAAGTTCTCACTACTATACTTCACGGCACCCACAAGTATACAGTATACTCAGGAGACATAACACCTCTATGTACACAATCATGTAGTTTCTCACCTGCCCATCTCCTGTTTCAGTGAGGCCTGTTACTTTCTTGCTGGCAGGTACAACAGTAAAGGGTTAGGGGATAATACAAAATTATTTACCTATTTTTTCATATTTATCTTCCACCAAATCTTCTAAGTCGATCAACTTCCAGAAATTATCATTCCACCCCTCCTCTGACGAATACATCCATTTGCACACCACTGTACAGAGGGACCTAATGAAAAATGGCATAAGTCCACAGTCAGAGCATTTCATGTGTTCATTAACTCATAGTTTAAGAGACAATGAAAGAGAATAACAAGGTAAGTGGCAACAGGATGCCTAAAGCCAATACTTTTAAAACATATGCCTATGTTTGAAAGAATGACTCAGGGTTTAGGGTGCCAGGTTTGTGGCACTTCACAAAGGCTGATTTCTAGGGTGCTTTCTCAACAATAAAAGCTCTTCAGCTGGTTATTCATCTGCATACAGCAGCCAGGTGAGCAAGCTGCGTCTACCAGAGGCATTTCAAAGGGACAGTACAACATAAACACTGTAACTGCATAGCAAGGAGCTTGACGAGAGGTGGCTCGTCAAGCAGTAGCTGCAGAGCAGTCCTGTGCACACAGCATAGCCCTATAAACACTATGAGCACCTTCCATTACAATGAACCCACAATTTAGTGATGTTGCATCATTAACCACACAGGCAAAATCCTCTGTGAGATCACGTGTCTAAAACAGAACTGTGTCAAACTAGCACTGCTTCTGCACAGCACATCTAGTTTTGCTGCCTTTGGGTCTGTATTTCATCAGAACCTGATGACAGCTTAGTGATGTGCTGAAATAATATATAAGCCATGATGCAACCAAGTGAAATATTAAGTTACTGTTTCAGCTGATGTTGCTGATAAAATGGCTTGAGCCCCACTGAGAATACAGTTGGAAGGATATGGGATAGGGGCACTGGAAAGGCACAAGGCAACAGCTCTTCTAGAATTAGCCACCTACTATAACGGACCTTTTCCTTACAGTCAAAAAAGTGAATAATTAAAAGTGATACAAAATACCGAGGAACAAATACACTGTTGTTTTACTGATGATTAAGGCATCCCAGGAGTCTTAACTGTGCTCTGTAAAATCAATACACTAAAAGGTGTTAATATTTCTAATTGCCGCCAAAGATGACAACTACCTGTAGACTTGAAGGTGCCGCTAAGGTGCCAAGTAGAGGTTAGCTCTGTTGCATCTCATTGAAATGCTTCCTGGTGTAATTGGTCTCATTACAGAGATAACCACGCTTAGGGATTACGCTTCTTTCCTATCGGACCATATGCGTTGTTTGTCCCTTGTTTTTCTCACTTAGGTTTTCTTTTGCAGACAACTTGCTTTGATACAAGATGTGGCACAATTTAAAGAAAATAGTAAAAGAGCAAGTGCTTCTTTGAGATTGCCTGTAATTGAATTCAGGCCAATTTAGGCTATATTTCCTTGCAAATAAGAGGAGAGAAATAAATATTCCAGTCGCTCTCTCTTAGAGGTCTATGTAAACAATTAAACCAAAATTTACAAAACCAAACAAGAGTTGCCACAAAGCAACATAAAGCTCAAGGCTAGTACAGTTTCTTACATGGAGAGCCAAACCTTAACTTAAAAATACATTTGCAGTCTATCATGTTACATTTTCTGCTGCTGCTTTAACATTACCATATGTTCTTATAACTGGAGGACTCTCAGTGCTTCTTTCCATTCCACAATGTGTACTTTTCTACGATGGCTTACAGCAAATACTGTACAGCAATTAATGCATGCTAGTGATTTGGAGGAACTGAAATGGGAATGACAGGCCATGTGCTCATAAATGGAAAAACGCAGAGATCCCTTTGGGGTTATAATTCTCAGTCTAGGCTGATGCAGGTTGATCCACCTGAGTTTTGAATCTGCCCCTTTCTACAGTTACAAAATGGCCAGTCAGGTACAGTTCTGTCTCTGGTTTGCAAACAAACAAAACCGAAAATAGAAAGCACATGACTTGTAACTACAGCAGTGACAATGTTGATATAAGGAATTCCAATTTCCAGGGATTTAAAAGCCAGACACAGAAATCCAATTAGGACCTCTGACAGAAATTGGATGAATATATAAATTCTTGGCCCAAGAATAAATTGGAAAAAAAATAAACATTTCCCCTGAATCAACCTGATCCTTCTATTTAAAAAAGACACAAGGGAAAATTCAAAACAAAGCCTCTGTCACTACTCTACATAAGTAACGTGTACAATAATGTAGCAGGCTTTCCAAAACACTGTAAGTAATAAGCCAAAGTAAAGTATCATCACACATGGACATATTTTTAAATTAGATTGCGAGGCTATGAATTATTATCCTAGCCTTTTGATTTAGGAACTACCTTGAAAAATGCGTTGAGAGGGCTATCCACAAGCCAAATACACAGGCTTCCGACTCTCTAGAAACCCAAAGCAATTTCTACAGGGCCCTTGCATTCATTTTGAATGAAGAATCACTTTTGATCTCAAAGACATTTCTTTTAAAATATTATCACCTAGGGCTCAGTGCCGCCACCCAGTTCAGAGTGAGTAGTCCCTTTGTGTATTATGGTTCTTTTGAAACAGCAGTGAGTAAAGGGAGGAGCCTGGCTCATACTGGATTTATACGTGTATACTGCAGCACCCTTAGTTTTCAGTCTTACTGCAAAGAGTTTCATAGGAGTTCAGTTCCATATATGGGAACTATTACATGTGTTGTCAAACAGAAGTAGTGTTTTGTGATGGCTTTTATAAATACTTATAATTAAAGTATTTAATCTACAGCTAGGCATCTAGGTCTTACTGCCTATTCACTCATTACATTGGGATAGGGTAAGACTGAATATATGCTAGCCACGAACCACCAATATGGCCCCAAAGCTGAAAGTCTACCAGCAGCGAAGAACTCGACATCTCCTGAGACTCAGCACCGCACCCTGTGCGGGCTACCAATGCATTGCCAATTCAACTTTACAAAGTTAACTGAACTATAAAGCTTTTAGCAGCCCGAGTCCTCAAAACCCAAAGAAAACATAGCTCATCTCCCATGTGTTCTTTGCTGGGGTGACCTTTTTTGATTGGAAGCTATAGTTGGCGCTTTCCTCTTTCTGCTCAGTTGTTCAATTTTTGTGTTTTATGAGGGCGGGCATTTAATGACACATTTTCCATGTGCAGCTTTGGACAGGTGAATTTTAAATGGACTCAAATTAATAAATAAATATTAGCTTGATTTAGAAGCACTCACAGAAACCCTTGTCCAATACAACCCATGAGCACAATTCTTAACTCCAGGAATAAACTAGAAAATGCAAAGGTCATTACGAAAAAAGGGTTGAATAAGCATGTAACTTCACTTCAAAGATACCTGCCAGTTGAGTTTAGATGTCAAGAACCAGCCCGAAGTTTTACTGAGATGAAGGACAGAGATTACCTACACACACAAAAAAAGGAATGCTCATTGCAGTACTTTCCTAACTTCTGTTTTTCTATTGGAATGGTTGGAGGTATTAACTTCATTATTTGGCCTTAAACATCAGAACTTCCTTACCTAAAGATTAATGAACCAGAAGGATAAAGTAAACTCTTAATTTCTCTACCATTATTTAAAAATAACCTGGGTCAAGAAAATTCAGTTAATATTCTGATTTCATGACTGCTTAACACCAAGATAAGACTTCTGGACATCTGGTATAGTGGCTGGCCCTAGTTAGCACAGATTCCTAGTGAGATGGGGATACACCTACTGAGAAAACACTGTTAGCCTCAGAAATATCCTAAACCAAATAACATGAGAAGTATCTTAATGGAAAAATCAAAATCAACATTTTGACACTGATGGAATCAAAACCATATTTTTCAGCTTCGCAGCAGGAAAGAGTACCCTCTGTTTTTACTACAGGGCAGCATTGGCTGGGAGGGGTGCACTAAGCTCCCCTTTCCACTGTTTTCTAGGTTTCTGTGCCCTTGCAAATCTATGCGGAAATAAGGACAGGAAGCAGGTTGTCCTCGTGGTATTTCTAGCAGGATCAGAAAGAAGCTGGAAGCTCCGGAAATCTCCTTACGTGGAATCAGTGGTTCCAGACAGTGTGTGCAAGAAGCCAGGTTTCTAGGAAAGTTGTGCATGTTAAATTCCAAACATTTAGGAGCAACTCATTGGGAGTATTCACACACATTGGCTTATATCTCTGCATCAAATCAGGCTGGGTCCCCCCCACAGGTGCTGAGAACCTGCTTGTACTCAGGCCCCGTGAGACTGTACAGGCAGCAAGGGCCAGAAAGACCCAAAATTTGCTGTCTCCCATGTACAAGGGCTAACCTTACACAAAGCTTTCTGTAAAGAGTCACACTGTACGTATATCATAACTGAGAGCATCAACCTACATTCAGTATTTAGCCAAGATCACAGGAGAAATTTTAATTATATATATACAGACATACATACATATATACATCTACATACATATATATACATACATATATACATACACACACACAGTAATATATGGAGGGGCACCCATTTACACCTTCACTCATTTACACCACAATTCAAATGCTGCAGTAGTTGTAGCAAACTGTATCGGGGGGACCTAACAAAGTCACGTGCAGTAGCACAAAGTAGCTTTCTGTGGTCTGTAGGCCACTGCTGTTCAAAAGCCAGAAGCAATCAAGAACAAAAGGAAGCCATGCAAGTTTCTGAAAGTAAGAAAAAACCCCCTCAGACAATGGAGTACGACTGCCACAACATCAAACATGCGTTTCCTTTTGTTCTACAGACCTTAAATTTAAAACAGATGGTATTCAAATGGAAACTCCGGGTTGATGTTGTGCTCAAGTGAACTCCTCCACCGTCTGACATCTAGACATGCTGTTAGTGTCCCCCCAAATTAAGTGTCCCATAGTTTCAGGCTTTCTACTGAAACAAGCATAATGCTGTTCTAACACAATCAAAGAACTGTCTGCGGTTTTCATAAAAATGTCCCAGAGAAAACCCTATGGTGCACTCAACCCCTCCAGCAATGATCAGTATGAAAAAGAACTAGGCATCAGTACTGAGACAGCCTGAAGAGCAGCATAAGTTCGCTCAAAGCAATAAGAAACCCCCCCCCCCCAATTAACAGGTAATGCTGTACATGTTAATTCATGACCTTTCTGAAATGAAACCAAATAATTGGCTCTACGTTTGCTGATGG